AGGATGTGGTGTACAAAATCCAAGTTGTGGAAACTCTGCAGGACAAAGTTTCTTCAACAACAATTTTTTTATTTGCCAGAGAAATTATAGAAAAGGAGGGAAAAACCTAAAACACATATCAAAGAATCACAATGTAAACAAATTGAATCAAAACCACAAAGACTTTATGGTATATATTCAATATTAAGAAATTATTTTTATTTTTAGATGTGCTAATGGTGTTGTGGCCAGGATTTTTTCTTTTAATATCTTTATCTCTTAGAGACACATACTGAAGTCCTTTTTGGTGAGAAGAGATGCTTAGCATTTATTTCAAAATAATCTGATTTTGGGGACAGAGTGTGGGATTCGGGGAAGGGAATGTTGATGGGAGTTTAAGTGAAATGAAATTGGCCAAGTATTGGTAATTGTTGGAGTCAAAAAGTAAACACATCTTGTTATCCTCTTCTCTCTTCTTTTGCATATTTATCAAAAAAAAACCTAAAATAAAGTGTGTAACACATATATTACATTTAGTTGTTGTATATTCCACTAAATTAGTAAAATTGCAAAATTTCAACCAGGCTTAAGTGAGAAAAATATTTTTTTACCAGTATATATCCATTAAAATGGCCAAAATCCTAAACACTGACAATGCCAAATGCTGGTGGGATGTGGAACAACAGTGATTCTCAGACATTGGTGAGTGGGAATGCAAATTGGTGCCACCACTTGCAAACAGTTTGGCAGTTTCTTACAAAGCTAATCATACTTTTTACCTTAATGTCCATCAATTGTGCTCTTTCATATTTATCCTAATGAATTGAAAACTCAAGTCCACACATAAACTCAAGTCCACACATGGGTGCTTGCATCATCTTTGTTCATAATTGCCTAAATTTGAAGGTAACCAACATATCTTTCAGTGAGTGGTACATTCAGAAAGAGACTATTATTTAGTACTAAAAGAAATTAGCTATCAGGCCATGAAAAGACATGGGAGGAGCCTTATTGCTGGGTGAAAGAGCCAATCTGGAAAGGCTGCATACCTGTATGATTACAACTTCTGTCATTTTGGAAAAAGTAAAACTTTTTTACAGTGAAAAGATGAATGGTTTGGGGGACTTGGCGAGAGGGAGGACTGAATCTGCAGTGCAAAGAGGATTTTTTGGGCACTGAAACTGTTAGGTAGGTAGACTATGACAGCAGTGAGTACTTGTTATTAAAAATATGTCACAACTCATAGAATGCACACCACCAAGAGTGAACTCTAATGTAAATTAAGAACTTTAGGTGATTATGCATTTATGTTGGTGGCTAATCAATTATAATAAATGTCCTAGCTGGTACAGGATGTTGACAGTGGGGGAAGTTACATTTGTGTATGGCTGTGGGAAAACTACTTCCACTGAATTTTACTGGCAGTCTAAAGCTACTCTTAACAAATGTATTAATTTTTTGGAAAGGAAACCAATTGCACTGAAATTACAGATATCAAAACATTTTAATCAAAACAAACACAAAATCTTCTCAGTTACAAGGTCCACTCCTGTGAAAAGTTGGAGAAATAATGGATGTCATGGAATGGTCAGAAGGAATACATTAATAAAAGTTGATTAAAAATGTTTCTAGCTTACCTACTATCCTGCTTACTTTATATATATATATATGTGTGTGTGTGTATATATATATATACACATATATATAAAATATACATACATACAAAATATACATACATACATATATATACATATATACACACACACATATATATAAACCCACACACACAGTCTAGCATTGAACATTTAGAAAATTAAATGGATACAATCCCTGTTCTCATGGAGACCTTGATTAGGTGGGATTGAGTGGAGCCTGAAGGATGTGAGAGCAGTGAGCCTAGAAACTGCTTGGGAAACCTTATGACCGAAGCAACAGCAATGCCTAGGCCTTGAGTTGGAGAGTTCAGGGAACAACCAGCAGGCTGATTATCGTGATGTAGTGGAGTGAGGAGGAGGGTGGTAGCAGGTGTCAAGGAGCATAGATATGGAAGACCTTATAAAGCATGGTGAGCACTTCAGATTTTACTGAGTGAGATGAGCAGCTACTGGAGGGCTTTGAACTAAGCAAAAAAGGTTCTACTTTATGCCAATAGTGTCACTCTGGTTGTATGTTAAAAATAATGGCAGGGCCAACAGTGCCAGCTGGGAGAGCAATGCCAGGTGAGAATTGGAGGAGGTTTAGGTCAGGGTAGCACCTTCCAAACATACTTTGAAGGTGGAGCCAGTAGGATTTGCCCATGAACTTGATAGTGGTGAGAGGCAAAAACTCTGGTTTTAGCCTGAGCAGCTGGAGAAGGTGGAGCTGCAATTTACCTCTCCAGGATCAGCTGACTGGAAGAGGTGCAGCTTGTGAGTACTTGTAATGAAAGCGCTATGAGGATCATTGAAAAGCTACAGGATGACTGAAGCGCACACTGCTTATAGATTTGATAACTTTTTATCAGGTGTAAATGTTACTGCACATTAACTTAGGGGTGAAACTGAAATTTTAAAACTAGGTGATTGTAGGGTAAAGAAAATATCAGGCTTTTCTGCCCTTCCGCCATCAGGATAGATGATGGATCCTTGTCCTGAATGCATGCCTGATGGTGGGCACCTGGAATAGGGTGTGGGCATAGGTAGATGGGATTCAGCTGAGCTAAGACTGTGCTTTTAAGGGCGGCGTCACGGGGGGACGCGAGCAGCCCCAGCCAGCAGCAGCAGAACCTGAAGGAGAAGCCGAAGCAGAAGCAGAGAACGCCGGAGAGCCCAGATAGAGTGAAGACTTGCTGGGGGCTGGGAGGTCTGCCAGCCTCCCAGTCCCCCAGCCAGCACCCCTGCCTGCCATATGCCTGGTGAACCCCAAATAAAAGACCTGCAAAACCACTGAGGACTCTGACTCCTCCTTTACCCAGTCTGCATGGGATCAGAAAACCTGCACTGTATCCAGTCCTGTCCCTTACAATTGGCGTAGTCGGCAGGATCCATGCAGACGGGTATTGGAGCCCTCCGAAGACCTGGAGGGACTAAGGAGAACAGACTTTGCCTGTGACGACGCTGGAGGCACCATGGCGGTATAGAAGATGGATACGTCCACGAGCTACAGGATGAGACCTGGCGTGAAGGAGATGCCCGAAAGGACCAGCCAACGACACCGGAAAGGACCAGCCAACGACACCAGATAGGACCAGCCAACGACACCGGAAAGGACCAGCCAACGACACCGGATAGGACCAGCCAACGACACCGGAAAGGACCAGCCAACGACACCGGATAGGACCAGCCAACGACACCGGAAAGGACCAGCCAATGACCCCTGAGGCAGCAGGCCATTGCTGAAGCAGGGAGAGGCCAATGGACTGATAGACTGATGAACTGATGATTTTGGACTGACAATCCCGCCAGAAGGCGGAGGACCTTAGCAGGTTATGTTTATTTTTTGGGAATCTGAGGGTGGCCAGTGGGCCTAGATGGCCAAAAGCAGCCTGTGCATGCCCAGCAGCCAGGTGGAGGAGAAAAGCCAACTAAGAAAGCAAAAGCTGGTACTGATGATAAGTTGAGAAGCCCTGAGTGGCTGTTAAGCAGCTTTAGTATGTTGAAGAACTGTGAGTCTCGTAAAATCACCTGTGGGTGATGCCCTGCTCATTCTTGAGCGAGGGTGAGGAGCTGAGGAACCTGTCCTTGGGGGACGGGTGGGGAACGTGGCTTGAGGTGGAGCCCAAGCCGAATGCAAAGTTTGGATCCCCAACCCATGTGCTTGTGCAGTGGGTTGGCTTGAGAGCAGGGGTCTGTGAGTCGCATGGGTGGCCATGAAGGCCGAGTGTTGGAGCGACTGCAGACAGAAACCCTGAGGGTTGGCGATTACCCCCAACAGAATAAAATTGCCAATCCCAGAGCTAGTGCATCCTGGGGGTGGATGCTGTGTGTGCCTTGTAGCTGAGACTACAGCCAGAGAAGGCCAGGAAGCCTGACGGCTCCTGGTGTGTTATAGTAGATGCCGTGTGTGATTTCCCCTCCCTCGTATGAGCAGTGCCTTCGGCAGCAGATTTGGTGGCTCATCTGCTGGTACCAATAATTGTCTTTTGCACTTGGTTGGTGCCCTGCCTGGACTTATTTGTGTTCTGTTGTATTTTGTTATGTTGTATTTTGTTATTTGATGTATTTGCTTTTGTGGGCCATGGCTGCATTGTTTATTTGCTTAGAAAATTGTGTATATATGTATAGACTGTATGGCAGAAAACCCTGAGGGGGTGGACTGTAGGGTAAAGAAAATATCAGGCTTTTCTGCCCTTCCGCCATCAGGATAGATGATGGATCCTTGTCCTGAATGCATGCCTGATGGTGGGCACCTGGAATAGGGTGTGGGCATAGGTAGATGGGATTCAGCTGAGCTAAGACTGTGCTTTTAAGGGCGGCGTCACGGGGGGACGCGAGCAGCCCCAGCCAGCAGCAGCAGAACCTGAAGGAGAAGCCGAAGCAGAAGCAGAGAACGCCGGAGAGCCCAGATAGAGTGAAGACTTGCTGGGGGCTGGGAGGCCTGCCAGCCTCCCAGTCCCCCAGCCAGCACCCCTGCCTGCCATATGCCTGGTGAACCCCAAATAAAAGACCTGCAAAACCACTGAGGACTCTGACTCCTCCTTTACCCAGTCTGCATGGGATCAGAAAACCTGCACTGTATCCAGTCCTGTCCCTTACAGTGATAAACTGGAAATCTCAGAACCTGAAGAAGATTTGAGTCCAGTCGAAGGAGCTATAAAATGCTACTGTGTGAATATTTTTATTTTTAATTAACCATAATTAGCCATAATTTATGTAAAATAGAAAAAGAAGCTAAAAGGATTAGCCAAAGCAGGACTTAAATCCCTTTGAATTCTGCCAGAGAGTCCAGACCTTGAATAGGTATCTTTTTTGTTTGTTTCTAAGTTAATCTTTTCCTTATAGGTCAATAAACTTGCTTGCTCTTTTTTTTTTTTTTTTTTCTAGCTGGGGAATGGCGGTCAATGTGTATTCTACCTCGATAACCCAAGAGACTATGAGCAGACATGACATCATTGCATGGGTTAATGACATAGTATCTTTAAACTACACAAAAGTGGAACAGCTGTGTTCAGGTAAGAGCTTTTCTTTTAAGTATTTCCCTAAATGCTTATTGTCTATTTGTGGAATGTAATTTTATGAACCACAGATGATACGTTGGACAGAAAAAATATTTATCAATATTGATATGCAATTATAGGGGCAAAACTGGTATAATTAAGGAACATGGGGGAGATATATGCGTGAGCATCTAAGTGTAGAGCCATCCTGATATATATTCTGAATGGTCCTGCTGGAGCTCTACAATACCTCCTTCCTTGCCTTCCAGCCTCTTCTCTGGCATCCACTGTCAGCCACCATACTTCTCCACCTAAAACACAGTTGTATCTTGCAACATCCTTCCTTAAAAGCCTTCAGGGATCCATTTTGTCCTTTCTACTGGTTAAGTTTAAAACTCTTTTTACATGGCTGAAAAGCTCCTTTCTGCAGGATAAAAACCTTGATTTCACCCTCCACATCTCTCCCCTTGTACCACAACTCCACAAAATACTCTGTTCTTTTTCATGCTCCATTTGCTGAGAAACTCTTTTTTCATTTGTGGTGAAATCCAGTTTGCACTGTGAAATGAATTCAGTTGTTGCTCCTGTGAAAGGCTCCCCAGCCTCCAAGGCTCCTCATGTTTCCAAAACACTGCTCAACCTTCGAGAATAATGCTTGCCACGCCTTTAGAAGGTTTAACTCCCACTCCCTGAAGGCATCAAGAATCCTTGAGGACAGGACTGTATTTTATCTTTATTTCTTGTCAAAATACCTAAGGTGGCACCATGCCTGGTATAAAACAGGTCCACGGGGAATACATACTGAGTTAACTTGTTGGAAAAATAAAAAGATTCAACTTCAGTGATGAAATGGGGGTGTGTTATAAAAACACACCACTAGTACATTCATTCTTAGGTTAGCATATTTATCAAAGAAATAGTCTTCTTTTGGAAACAAAAGTACTTTCTTCGTGTGAATTAATAGAAATGTCTTCTCTGCCTCTGGCTCTGACATGAAAATGTGTTAGAAAATACTCCCTAACTGTATTCCTGTGGACTTCCAGAAGACATAATAGATACAAAGGATCTGTTTCAGCTGATGTGGTGCTGTTGGGTGTTCTGCCCTCTTTCCTGGGGGCCGTGTATAAAAAGACTTCATGTGGCAGCTCGGCAGGGTTTGGGAAGCCCCCACGAGTCATAGTCAGTATGGCCGACCCCGGCACTCTTTCCGCAGATATACTCTCCTCTCGCCAGGTCTGCATTTGATCCGAATAGACTAGAAACCAAACTTTGAATACTATTGGCCTTTGGGCCTCCCCGGTGGCGCAGCGGTTGAGCGCTGGGTTGCGAAGCTGCCCGCGGCCTCTGCGGCGCCGGTTCGATCCCCGGCTGCTCCCCAGCCACCGGAGGAGGGTCCCACATGGTGCGCAGACCTCTCCTGCCGCCCGCTGCTCCCCTCAGCAGTGTGCTTCGGTCCTTCTGCCTGCTCTGCTCCCCGCTCTGGCTCTGGTGAATTCTCTCACCCTCCCGTGCTTCTGACTGTACCCAGTGCATGTATAAACAAAAACAAACAAACAAACAAATAAATAAATAAAATAAAAAAAAATGCCTCTATAAAAAAAAAAAAAAAAAAAAAAAAAAAAAAATGAATACTATTGGCCTTTGAATACGCCCTTGGTTTTCTATGAACACAGTGAAATTGGCCAGGGTCTAGGCATCGCCTCTCCAATCCTGTTAGTGCCCAGGCCTCAGACATGATGTTTGTGATTTCGGAGGTCAACAGGTGCTCACTCACCAGTTCTCTGCCTTCAGTACAAGCTAGAGAAAAACTGATTTAGGTTATGATGATACACAGATATATATATTGTTGACCTGTTGAGATGGCTGTCAGAAACAACCCCTTTTGCATCTTACTCAACTCTGCACACAATCATCATCTTGCAGTACATTTTGGAGCTCTCTGATGTTTTATTTTATATTTGTTTCTCCAAAAACACAAAGAGTTTATCTTATTAGCAATCCCTTCGTTAATAGAACATATGACTTTGTACTGTAATGAATGTATCTCTTGCCAGCAAAGTGAGTGTATGTCCATGTGGATAAGGAGAGTGGGGTAGTTACCAAGAAAAAGAAACACAGGAAGGAAGGGGCTGATAAGAGAGTCAGAAAGAAACTTCCAGTCATAGGTCTTAAATGTTAAAGGAATCTATGAAAAACTGCCTGAAATGAGAGCAAATTAGAATTGTTGAGATACAGTACTATGTTTATGTAATACACAGTTTCCTTGCAGATCTCCTAAATTTCTCAAGACAAATTCAACAAAAATGTAAGCTGCATTAGTGAAGGATTCTTATGCATTTAATTCTAAAAAACCATTTATGTCTTTATTTCTATCAGTTGATGAACAAAGAATTTTCATCACTATGAGCAGTTTATTTCCATTAGGATAACTCACTGACAACCTTAAGGTAACAAGATTGATGGTTTAGATAAAGTAGCTTTAAAGGTTCCTTTCTACTATGAAAAATGTTTTTTTGCGCAAAAAAAAAAAAAAATTGTTAATTTCCACAGAAGAGAGATCTTTTATTTTAGGCTGTAGTTTACTCAAAGTATAAACTAGGGAACATATACTTTATCTCCTGGAGAGCCCCTTAAAGATGCAGTCTTAGGATCCTTGACCTTCTAAATCAGTCTCTGGGGGTGAAACCTAAAACCTGCATTGTAATAAGCACCCCAAATATTTTCGTGACTCTGCCAGTAGCTTGCAGGGCATTTTAGAGAAATTCAAACCACTGAGAATAATCCAAAATCTATCTGGCACAGTGTCCTTATTCATAATTTAGTCTGTGACTTTTGTCTTCAGCAATGGCATTTAGAGGACGATGCTTTATTTCTATTTATTTATTTATACCTTTCATTGTTCTGTAAGACATTTAAGGCAGCTAGGACAGTACTATTAGGATGAGAACAAAATCAAATACTGCTTTCCTAAGCGATTTATCCTCATCATACCTATGAATAGACAAATTTCGCAGATAATTTTTTCCTTCAATTTTTAATTCTTTACTGTGTGTGATTTTACTTTAGTAATATGTTATGGAATAATACACAATATACCTTCACATATTTAAACTGATTTTTTTCTTGTTCAATAGAAGAAATTAATCTTCACTAGACACTTAGGCGCCAATCCTGACAACCCCTTCTGACCCCCCCTTTTTTTCCCTATAGGGCATTTTGTCCCTATTTGCACTATATCTAGTTCTTTTTAAATTCCCATCTGAGAGATATCTCCAGCTAATATTAAAACTAATCTCAGCTTTGCTTTAACTCATAAAGATCTGAAATACTGCTTCACATTGGTGTTCCTTTTGCTTCAAAATTGTCTGCCTTTATGTGACATCTCCTTTGTTTCCGTGTAAGTATTTTTAAAAGATCTTTTAAAAGAAAGATCGTGTGAGATGGTATAATATTTGGAAATGGATAGTAAATGGAAAATAATGAAAATAATTCACTCTTATCTCCTGTTATTTTATCCGAAGGCTATAGCCTTATGAACGTTTTCTTTGAACAATAAATCTAGATCACATGCACATATGCATATTTGGTTTGTATTCATTTCTGCTGAAAAACAACCATCTTTAAATCTCAGGTAAATGGGGCTGTGTAAATGCAGAGCAGACTTTCAATGATATGGATACCTCACCTCCTTTGTTAACACAACAGTATACTGCTCACCTAAATCTGTTTTGAAAATGAATAATATTTGTGAATTTCTTATAGTGAGATTGGGAATTGAACCACATGAAACACCAAATTGGTTCAGCTTAGAATCACTTTATACTGTAATTCAATTGCATTACAAAATTTGTATGGTTTTTGTGGGATGAGGAGATGTTTTGTTTTTACTTTCGTACCAGCTCAAACCAATTTACTAGATATTTTGTAAGGTACTCCAGAGGGAAAATGGGCAGCATGGCGCTAAAAATTTCTAAAAATAGCCTTAGCAACTGGAAATACTATATTGGAGGTTATAGAAAAGATAATGGACAATATGAAAAGGAAGAGAGAAAAGACATATAGAGGGAAGTTTGATGAGAATGGAAGAAATATGTCTTTGCTTTTTCTTCTTCACTCTGCCTTCTGCCCCAAAATACCATTTCTGACATCCATCCTTTTCCCTACCTGTGATCCTCCTGCAAAGCCATTGGAACCTGTGCTTAGTCAGCAGCCTGTAGGGCCAGCAAGCTCCTGACCAGTGACTCTCCCGACACCAGCAGACCAGTGCAGTCTTTTTCTCTCTGTGCAGCCTCTATTCTATGGGACAAGCAGACAGCCAGCTTTCACAGATGCTGAGATACAGTCCCCATGGAAGGTGGGCACTGCCCCTGCTGTCACCATTCTGGTGGACAGCTCAGATATTTTCCTGGGCTTGCAAGCATTTTAATGTAAACCAGAGGAACCCATTCTTTAATGTGGGAAATGTATTTTCTTGACTAGCTGAAAAAAAAAAAAAACATAAGAATGATCAGGATTTAATTCAATTTCAATTTGTACTTCTCCAAATTATTTTGAGCTTTTCTTGGATTAAGTTTCTGATATGTTCTTCTTCCAAGAAGACTTATAAAGCCGGCTGGTAATACTATAGTCATATTACAATCCGGGACCCTGGAGGACTGTTGGGAAGGGCCTGGACTGCACAGTACGCCTCCAGGATTCACAAAGGTGTAGCTTCCAATGTGCCAGAACCTGTAATACCTACAGGTGCTCTCAGTCTAGCAGAGCTGTCTTTGTGACCATTTTTGGCTGCAGCCTGTGCCTGTTAAATAAGTTGGTACCAGCCCAGTGTGGCATCCCTGTGCCTGCTTTCTTCTGTCCACAGAGACCTCCATCAGGAGGACAGGTTAGTGATGAAATCAACCCAGAGTCTAAATTTAGTAGACCTTCTCTGTTGACTGTCTTGAACTGAAACCAAGTAAGGATATTTCGTCAGTGTCTGTAAGCTCGAGAGCTTACTTATCTTTAAAAAATCATGG